TCACAAACTTATTTTTAGGACCTAATCAAAGAGCACAAGAAGCAAACAGGGCTGAAAGACATGAGCATCTCCACCGGGAGATGCAGCCACCTGGGCACACGCTGCTTGTTAATACCAGGGGGTCCTGGTTTCAGTTAGGACAGGGGGTCCTGAGTTTCTTGTCTGGTTCAGAATCAGGGGCAGCTGTCCAGCCTTGGAGTTAAGAGCTTGTCTAATGAAGGTGGCTTCGACTGTGTTTCGTTTCAAGAAACGTAGTTCAGAAGCTTGCTGCTCTTGTAGGTGCTTTCTCTGTTTGTTTTTTCCTGTATCTGTTTACATTTTATGTGTTTTCTGTTGCTCAGCTAAGCACAGAAAATATCTTTTGTTGTCTTGTGCAGTAACTGGCTCCTCTAGGTGTGTTTTCAGGCCGCCCTGAGCTGCCCACCTGAGGGGAGTCTGTGCACCCCATGCACGTCCGCCACACCACCAGCACCACAGCGTGCTGCTGTTGTGTAGGGACGGCAGGTTTTCAGCCAGCAGGGCACAGAAAGGCCATTTGATTTTGTTAAGAGACCAGCTCCTTAGCAGCAGAAGGGGAACTCGATACGTCCAGCAAAGTACTCTCACTGAACAGGACTGAAAGCTGAACACAGCTTGATTATTCACAAAGAAGGGTTAGAAAGCACCGCTTTCTTCAGCAGGGCTGACCTTTGAACATCTCTTTTTAACACAGAATGCTTCCTCTGTAAATATTTTGCATGCTAAAACAAGAGGAAAAGAAGAAGTGGCCTCCTTTTTTCGTTCTCACTGTCACACTGTGCCAAAGAAGGGCAGGCGAGGAAGGCCTGCACTGCTAGGCCTGGGCCTCCTCACTTCAGGTGTCACAAGGGCCACATGCTCTCAGCCACCCCCCGGGAGGTGACATGGAGGTGACACCTGCTGGGACCCCATGGGGCACCACAGGAGCAGGCAGACACAAATTTGGATTTCGGCCTTCCCCCAGCAAGGCCTTGCAGCCCTGGGTGCCGGGCCAGCATGGTCATGGGGGGATCAGGAGGGCCTGCTTGGGAGTCCATGTTGTAGTTCCCTAATTTTGGGCAGTGTGGCGTGGTCTTGGTTGCCACGGGCTCCCTGCTGCTCTCTGCTGGTGCCACATGACAGATTACAGCACAGGAGGGCACACTTTGGAAAACAAGAGATGCCACATTTGACACCAGGCTTTGCCTCAGTCAGCTTATTTGGGGTTTTTCAGACACAAACCTGAGCAAAAGGCTCCCACTGTGTGGTTATCACAGCACTAAAGGGCTTTCAGAAAATGTTGCTGTATTCTGTGCTGAACTCGAACTTGTCCACAGCTGTGTGCTGAAAAATGCGGGCGTGGGCTTGTTTCTCGATGTGAAAGCAGAATATCAAAATGAGTAGGAAATCTGGGTAGGACATTACAGAGCGCAATAATGCCATTGCTGGGGGATAAATGGAAGCCTGCATTTCTTTAGCTTTCTTTGAATATTGTTTTTTAAAGCTGCAGACACATTCCCTACTCATTGCTGCTGTGTTGATCCTGGGCTGGGGTGCCAGTAGCCAAGTGCAGGAACGTACCTGCATGAGGAGGAGCATGGCCAAGCCTGCCACGCTGACAGCCGGGTTTGGACAGAAGAACTACCTGCCTCCCTCTCAGGCTTCTGAGAAACACGTGCTTCACTCCCTTCTGACAGCAGCTTGGAGCAGTGGATAGCCTTCAGCTGCTAGTGCCTACTGTGTCCTCCTTTATAACATCAGATAGCTCCAGACCCTCTGCTTCCCTCCTTCATAACTGCTGTCCCAACCCATGTGTGTGATGGGTTTTGAGGCCTTCATTTGAAACTGAGTTTGCGAGGAAAAAAGTTTAGATTTTATTTTACTCACAGATACGTTTTGATCACATTATAGACAGTAAAATATCAGTTGGGCGTTCGTTAGTCTACCAGAGCAGCCACTGCCTGGAGGGAGGCGAATGTAGGACATTTTGAGTCTGAATAGATGAGAAAGCTGCATTAGCCAGTGCAGTTTGTTTCTGATCAGTCTCTCTAGTTGCAAAAGGCTGTAATTGTACAGTAATTCACTGCTACCTTATTTCTAAAATCCCTGCGGATGATTCGTGCGAGACAGACTGCTTTGGTAAGCAGTTCATTTCAATACCTCACAAAAGCTACAGCACAGAGCAGGGCGAGGACAAAATGAAGCAGAAGTGATTTACTGAGCAAGCAGTGTCATCACTCTGCTGCACATCATGTCTTTGCAAGATAGAAATTTGTTGGTCGATCTTACCTTACAGAGCAAACAAGGTTAAGTGGCAGAGGCATAAACAGGCAGCAATGTCTCTGTGTGTCCAAGGCATATTTTCAGACTTGTGTTCAATCTTTTTCTCTCTCCAGGGGTGTGTGCTTGTCGGCAAGCCAGTGTTTTGGTGTGCAGCACACCACACAGGCAGCTATTTTCCCATGGCATGTATTTAGGTAGTTGAATCGGTTGCTTCCAGTCTGCCTCCCTTGTGAATTATGCTAAAAAATAACTTCTTTACTGATAAAAATTTCAGACCAGTTTGACTCACACCATGTAGAGAAGTAGCCAGAGCCACTTCTTCTGGAGTCATGGACCTAGAGGATGCCACCATGCCGTGAAATTACTCCTGCTGCAATTAGAAAAGTGTGTGTGTGTGTGTGTGTGTGTGAGTGTGAGTGTGTGTCCACTCCAAGGAGAGCTCTGCAGTTGTTGCTAGACAGAAAGACAGGAGGAGTTACATCCTCACAGTCCCAAGGACAGCAAAGTGAAACTGTGCCATCCCCACAAGGCAAAGACTCTTCTGCTCTCTCATCGGTCCAGATTAAGCCCATGGCCATCCACACTGAGTCACCTGCAGTTAAGTCAACATCTGCCTGTTGCTTGAACCAGTGCTCTCCTTATCTGAGCATGTGCTCATGGCACAGAATTCTCTTTGGCTTTAAAACTTCAAAAATATGTGGTATTTTAGAACAGCAGTAGAGTTTCCATGCAAGCAAAGGCCCATTACTTGCAGCTACTTTATTAACTAATTTAAAAATTCCTATTTTTTCCCCATTTCCCTATTTTCCCCATCTGAAGTATTTGCTGATGGGAGAACTAGGTTACCAGCTGTGTATCTTTAGCTATTCTGCCCAATCTTCCTCCACCCAGTTTTGCCACCACCCAAAACGCAAGAGCAAGCAGCAGCCTGCCCTGGCCAAGTTGAGGAGTTCACTGCCTCGGGAAGTGATCAGATTGTATCTCTGTGAGGATCTCCTGTCTTCTTGGGAACGAGAAATGCAGCTCCTGGGAAAACACAGCCTGTGTGAAATGCTAAAGAGAAGACACAGAACAAGTTGCACCCGGTTTCAAAACTCCTACAGCAGGCTTGGGCACTCTGCACAGTGGGAAGGACTGATGCCAGACAGATGTGAGAAAAGCATGCACAGACAGCATTTCTGGGAGGGAAAACCCTCCGTGGAGAAGATGCACTACGGGCTGCGTAGATGCTCAGAATACTTCACTTTCTCTTCTCTGTGCAGGGCTGGATGAATCCAAAATCTCTATGTGAGAGACTGCAACTGCTGTCTTGCCTAAGCATAACTAAGCATAATATATGCATAACTTTGGGCAGTGCTGTTGGGAAACCCAGGCTTACCTGAACTTTAATAATCCTATACCACAGCAGGATGGGTTTTTTTTATTTACACATAGCAGAGGAGGACTTGGCTGGCAGTAGAGCCCACAAGCAACTACCACCACACAAACAGCAGCTAATAATAGCAGCTTCTTGGGAGAAATGAGCAATGTTGACTGTTGTCTGCATTTCTTGGTGGTGCAGTCAGACCTGATGCAACAAAATGTGGTGCAGGAGCCAGGACACAACACTTCTCCCCATGCACAACAGGGCTGGAGAGCCTCCTAGCGTGGTGCTCCACGAGCCTGCAGAGTACATGCTGTGGACAGGAGCCAGCAAAGGGCACTGCTTCTCCTAACAGCAGTCAGGCTAGACTGGTTATATTAATAATGCAGATTTGGAAATCCAAATACTTTATGCAAATAAAAACTTTGATCAATAGTTTTGATGCTCAGCAGCTGTACTTGAACCATTTACTCTGAACGAGTAAGAATTGTCATCGACCACGGCTCTTAGGCTGCCTTGATGATTTTAAAAACCATTTTTTAAAGAATCCTGGCTTCACACGACAAGGACAAGTGATAGGGAATCTGCAGCTTCAGATGAAGTGTTCCTTTTTTCTCCTACTTTGCGTATTTGATAGCTGGCATTGTCCACATGTGTCAGCACACATCAGTTTCAGGTGGCTTGGTTGGCCTGCCGCCATGCCACAGTCACAAAAGACACCGAGGCAGAGCAGGAACCAGAGAACTCGTGAGTAGGACAGGGCCACAGAGAAGTTAGAGGGGAGATCAGATGGAGCTGAGCAGAAGCAGAGGGCTGTATGATATGGGGAAAAAATTATATTCAGCCGTAGAGGAGCTTGGGCCTTTCTTTGTTCCAGTTTTCTGAAAGTTTCTTGTTTCACCCAGTATTCATCATGATTTTTGAAGGCCAACCAAACCACAGCATTAAATAATGGGCAAGCATGTTCTTGCTGTAGAGCAGCAAGGCAATTACCTCTGCAAAGCGCCTCACTGCTGAGACAGAAGCTCCTTACGTCAGCTGCACGTCTTTTGTTATCTGAACCTATCCCCTCTGTAATTGCACCAATTAGTATCACTGCAAATCTCATAATGTTCCTCATTTACAAAACACTGTTACCTCGCATCTCGCTTTGATGAGGTGAGAGTGAATCTGTGCTGTTTACAACCATTCGACCCAGTAGGCTCCTCTGTTAGCATTGACCCCTTAAGAGACGAAGCCAGCACACGCACCAAAACGCCAGCTCTGACCACAGCACCTGTTCGCTCTTCCTGTGGATGTAATATGCACGAGGAGAGACAAGAGAAAACTCAGGGAAAAATCAGAGGAGGGAATCGGTCCTGGTTATGCTGATGACAGCTCTTTATTAACTCGTTTCTTGTAGTCTTCCAGCCACCAGCATCAAAACTCTGCACGTTGTTTGCAGCTGAAGTTGGGGTCTCCTACTGGTCCTGAAAACTGAAGGCTCGTTCCTGTAGTAATGAAATAAAAACCACTGAAGTTACTGTGCCAGACTTTCAGCAGGGAATACGTTATTACTGCGATCCACTTTGCAAATATGAGTTCAGAACAACTTCCTAGAAGCCGGCAGAGTTACTCCAACTTTAAGGCTGTTAAGCTTATTATCTTAGCACATTTATGACTTTTTTTTTCTCAAAATGACTTGAAGTGATGGCATGTAGATGTCAAGTATCTACTCAACTTTCTTCATTTTCTTTTTTTTTTCCAAGTATACTTGGTGCTGTTCGAACTGCTCCTTTCATGCTGTACATTTTGATGACCAAAGGCCTGAAGCAGTCAGTGTGCGACCAGAGTTTTTACATTGGACCTGTCAGCAAATTCTGGGCATACGCATTTGTGCTAAGCAAAGCACCCGAACTAGGTGAGTAACCTCTCTCCCTTTTTCTCTCCATGCCTATTTAGAGCAGCATGAAGAGAGCATTCTCTAGATGCCATCAAGCTCAACGCTACTCTTTCTCCTCTGCCTCTGTCAGTCCTCCTGGAAAATAGCTGGGTCTTTGCTATTGTTTTGAAACTGGACGTTTGCAATTCATGTGGCAAAGTGTAAAGCCCCTCAGCTGGTGGGGCTTTACTCCCCCAATACGGGGCAGTCTCAGGTACATGTATATATAATCTAGGTTGCTCCAGGTCTCCACAGTATGACTCATTTAGGCAAACCTTCAAAGCTGAAAGTACAGCTCAGCTCTCGGAGTTTTCTCCTAGCCTTTGTCAGCATACCTACGATGATGCTGGTTTCAGGTAACAAAAACATGTAGGTCCACGTCCTCAAACGTGAAGTTCACTAAGCTCCAGTGTATTTAAAGGACTGGGGTGTGCCTTGTCACCAACCTGTCAATTAATTCATGTAGCCCACCTGCCAGCAATGGATTTTATCTATCTGTAACAGCAACAGGACATTGGCCATTGATTCACAGCAGCAAGGCATGCTGTAAGTGGCAGAAGGCTTTCCCATTCCTCCTTAGAGCTCCGTCTGGTGCACATTTTCTTCAGCTGCAAGTGGCCATGGCTCAAGGGTATTTGGCTTCCCTACAGAGCAAGAGCTGTGGGAAGAATGAAAACCAGGAAAAGCTAATAAGTCTCCATCGAGAAACCGTAGTTAAAGTTGTAGTTTGAATTCCAGAGAGTTTTTTTCAAGTCCCCAACAGTTGGCCAGGAATTCACCACCACCCTTTTTATATCTGAGCCTGCCAATCCAGCACGCTTCACACGCTTTGTTGTTTTTTTGTGGTTGTCAGTAGCAGGAGACACAAGTCCAGTATTGCTCTGAGCTGGGCTCTCACGCTTTGCAAGTTCAGCCATGAGCTCTGTAGGTCCGGGCTCAGCCCTGAGGGACTGGTCAGCATTATGGTCATGATGCAGTTGATGAGAAAGCATCACATCCCTTTTGCTCCCTGTGAAACTTTTGTGAGGACATGTCCTGATCCCACAGCAAAGGATAAATTGGCATTCCCCTCAGCATTACCAGGCCTGGCCGATTGCTTCCGAAGCCATCAGTGATTACAGACAAATCTGAACAGCAGCAGCAGCAGCCACTCACCCCATGGATATTGAAGTGAGGGCTGGGCTAGAGCAGCTGTGTCAGCAAGTGGCTTCGAGTCAGATCCTACCTCCGTTCTGCAACATTCATCCTTAAATACATGTGTGGGCGTACAATTATGAACAGTAACGTGCTTCCTCCCTGAACACTGAAAGCTGTGGCTGTCTCCAAATAGAAACCAGTTTCCCACAACATCTCTGGCTTTTCCAATCCCCATTCCAGTGTGATGTGGATATTTATAAATTGTTGGTTCTCCAGCGATTTATTTGGAATGATACTTACTATAGACTTGCCAAAGCCAACTTCATATCCTGTCTGCAGGTGTTCTTATCCCACAGCTTATTAGTGTAAGAGAGGATTGTTTTAATGGGAAGGAGGAAGGAGTGATTTAGCAGCCTTCCAGCTTTCCCTTCAGAGGACACCCTTACAAAACCTCAGAGGGCTGCAGAACTCACCGTGTTCAGGTGTACAGCAAAAATAAGTCTTTACCTTTCAGCAGAGAATTTGATTCAGCAAATTAGAGCACGGCAATTCATCAGCATAAACACAGGGAGGGGACAGACACCAGTTGTTTTGCTGTGTCAGAACCCTTTGGCTTCCTGCTGCTTAAAGTACTGCAAAACCACTGAAATCGAGTTTGGTTGAAACTAGAAAATGTCAGCTAGAGCCGCACGTCAACAATAAACTGATCATGTGATTACTTATTAAAATGTGAATCAACATCTTGCAGCTAATGAGATAAACAGAAGCATTATGGCTTACTGCAGACCTAGTGCAGACAGTGCAGTTTCAGTTCCAGCCATCACTATTATTCATAATTCGGATTTTCAGGGATACGTATATGTAGAAATAAGGCCCCTGATTCAAAGCTTAGGGATCTTTTTGGAATCACTGTACAACAACAAACGAATAGCGCACGTATATATATATTGTATCTAATTGGGATGCTCAGTGCAATCACAAGAAGCAGAAGAAAGAAAAAGGCAGGAATTTGGAATAAAATCTACTTTTCTACAACAGTAACAAATTTGCAGAAAAGGATATGCATTTCATCGTGAACAAATCTCTTTCTAAAAGCATTTTTTCTGGCAATTACATACCTTTCAATAACACAGGTTGAATATGCAATAGCTTTTTGCATAGGAACTCAAAAGACGCTGTTAAATGTAATCAGGATTGGCATGCAGGTAGGCACCTGAATGGCAGGGCACTGCTGCTTCCTCCTCGGGTTTTCTGCTCTCTGTTTTTCTCTTCTGGTCACAGCGTGTGATGGACAGTCTGACAGCCTGAGGTGATGCACGTACATCCACCTGCGTCACTTCAGGCTTTGCAGGCTGTGTTTACAGCAAAGACCTGTGGAGTCTTCAGGCAGGGGTTGTCCACGCAGCAAAATGGGGGTGCTCTGGTTGGGCATAAATCGCAGAGAGATAAGACCTGAGTAAGCTGTCAAATTAGACAAGCTCTGAGGTCAATAGCTGAGGTGTATTTTCGTGCTCCAAAAGTGTATACTGCAGCAAGAGCAATGGGAAGAGAGCCTTGCAGAATTCAGAAACTGTGGAATTGTTCAATATGTTTCTCATTTCCTCCCCTCCCTTTTTTTTTTTTTTTCTTTTTTTTCTTCTTTTTTGTTACAGGAGATACAATATTCATTATTCTTAGGAAACAGAAGCTCATCTTCTTACACTGGTACCATCACATTACTGTGTTACTTTATTCTTGGTATTCCTACAAGGACATGGTGGCTGGCGGTGGCTGGTTTATGACCATGAACTATGGAGTGCACGCCGTTATGTACTCTTACTATGCCTTGCGGGCTGCTGGCTTCAGAGTCTCACGCAAGTTTGCCATGTTCATCACCTTGTCGCAGATCACCCAGATGCTGGTTGGCTGTGTGATCAATTACCTGGTCTTCTCCTGGATGCAGCACGGCCAGTGCCATTCCCACGTGCAGAACATCATCTGGTCCTCCCTCATGTACCTCAGCTACTTTGTGCTCTTCTGCCATTTTTTCTTCGAGGCCTATATCGGCAAAACGACAAAAACAAAGAAGGTTGAGTAGTGGTAGAAATGAGACAGAAGCCATAGCTCAGGGTCATCAAGAAAAACAAAATTATAAGAAAAGAAAATGGCACAAGGATACACATATATGTATGGTGCAGATCAAACATGGCAGCTTAGGGAAAGTTAGCTTGGTTTAACCCAGTAAGTTTATGATCCTACCATGGTGAGGACTCACTGAAATCTACTCTATCTCAAAGGACTGCTGACGAAAGACTTCTTCCTTCTTGTACCTGTCTGCTCTTGAAAAGAAAGGAGAAAAGGAGAAATTAGAAAAATAAAAATAAAAAAAGGAAAGAAAAAGAAGAGAAAAGGAATAATGTTGAGGGGGGAAAAGTACACGAAGTAAGCTTCCCCGGGATGGAAGAGAGACTTTTATTACGAAAACCGAGTTTCTAAATCCTTTCTAATAGTTTTTCAGTGTTAAACTTGAACAAAACAAAGCAGAGAGGTGACAAAAAAAAAATCTATCTACGATACCAGTAGGATTGCAAATTTAAAATCTTTTCCATAAAAGGTTAATACCTTTAGCCAAAACAAAACCCAAAAGGATGTCACGGACACCCGTGTGGTTGAACGTCATCATGGTTGTGAACGGAAGCGAGACGAGATTGATTTCTCCGCTCTGTACCGTGCCAGGGGAGCAGAGCTGGAAGGCAGTCACCTCGCTGGGGTGGCAGGAAGGAGCAGCACTCGTACAAGAGCTTGATGTGAAAAGATGCACTGTTGCAATACATATCTCAGCCGAGTGCATTTTCCAAGTGCATTTTTCAGCTAAAAGCAAGGAATTTCTGCAGCAGGATAAGTCATAGAGGGTTAAATCAATCAATATTTGCTTAATTACCAGGGGCTAATAGCAGATGAATGTTCAGGAAGGAGGGAGAGGCGACTCCCCGACCATGATTTTTAAGAATTAGCCGCTAATCTCAAATTAACCCGCAGCGACACGGAATCGAATGGGGGAAATGAGAAGCCAGCCCAGCTGGCGAGCAGCGAGCGACGTCTCTACCCACTGACTTCAGAGCAGAGCCCGTGGTGCTCACCGACGGATGCTCGCCCTGCGCTTCTGTGGCTCTGGGAAGAGGCAAGGCGACCTGCCAGGCTGGGCGAAGATGTGCCAAGAGCCCTCCTCTGGTCATGTGGAGATACTACTATGAAAAGATGCTCGGAATAGGTTTTTCTTGAGATTTGTGTAGGAAATCAGGCTGAATGGAGTGATTTTGCTGCAACGGCTTAGCTCTAATGTCCAGAGGGAATCGTCCTTCACTAAACGTGCATCTCTCTCTCTGCAGAGGCTGTAACATCAGACTGACCACTTAAGAAGACACGTTTCTTCTCTGAAGTCAGCTACAGAAATAAGGAAACGTATTTCACTCTGAACCTTAGAGAGCTAGTTGATAACAGCCATATTCTCTCAAAGACGAGTAGATTGCATTATCTGTGATATTCCAGTCCTTACGAAGCCAAATAAAACGTGTAAAAGTTCCTAGTATTTCAAAGACGCAAGTATGTAAACTTGATGTTAAATGTGTTAATGTAGTACTCTAAATTGTATCAGTTAGGTAGCTTAACTAAACAATTAGAAGAACTAGATCAACAAAATAGGGACTGCTGTTCTGCGTAGGATATACACACCTATAACTACACCCATATACACATCCTGTGAATTGTCAACAAGAAAAAAAGCCCAGTGGCAGAGAATCACGTTTCCTGGCTAATGCAAAAGATTGTCATTAATTTCCTTGCTTTAATTTGAGATTGTACAGTGCAAAGGGTTTCTTTTTTTTTTTTTTTTTAATTATGATTTTTAGCTTTAATTGTGCTGTCATTCATGAAACAGAGCTGCTTTAGTATCTTGTTAAGAGATGACAAGGGCTTTTGGTGTCTCATTATATACAAAAGAAAAACAAATAAAGTTACATTCCATGTTATGTGAATGGTCTTACAAATCAACAAGCCTCCGTAGGCTGAAATCATAATTACAACAAGCAGAAAATAAGTTTACATTTGTGTTATTTAAGTTATTGATGTGCTGACGTTATTTTTATGGTACACAGCAAATAGCAAAATGTGATATTCCGTAATGAAGCTATGATATTCATTAATAGGACTACTGTATACATGGAAATATTAGACAACGCCAATTAAATGTGTAAACCATTTTGTTTTACAGCTTGGGAGTAGATAATTATAATGCTGAATGAGCCTTTTTCCTCACGCTTAATTTTGCCCTGGCTAAGAAGCGGGTTATGAAGACTGAGTAACAGTGGGAAAAGGCAAAATTCGAGTCACCTACCTTTAGATGGGAAGTGTTGGTAGAGGCCCCATTGTGCCATGCACGGAGCTGCACACATCCCCTGGTAACTGGAGGCTTGCAGTGAACAGCTTAAAAAAAAAACAACAAATAAACTTTACAAGTATGAAGCAACTCCTAGCTAGGTAAAGAGCTGCAGCCAAAGCTGAGCAGGCAGAAAACAGGGTGGGTTGCTAATGAGTGCACAATCAACCCACCGTGTTTCATACAGCCTTTTCCTTAATTGCATAAGAAAACAAACAAACGAAACAACCAAACAAGCAGACAAAAAGCATTCTGTGCGTCCCTGATGGCAACACTGGCAATGACACTGACTCCAGCGGAGCAGGCGTTTCACCCCCCGTTAGCCCATTCTCCAAAAGCCCTCGTGGGTACCTCTGTACTGTTTGCTCCCGACCTGCCCGCCTCCCTGCGAGCCTTTGGGGGGCTTGGAGGTGTCCCCAGCCATGCCAAGGGCCGTGTCCCTTCTTTGCTGCCTGGGCAGCGGCTGCAGTGCAGGGACCGACCCACCAGGCCCCCTCCAGACACAGTACAGATGTGCTCCAGATGTGCAGGGGAAGATGAAGATGAATTCAGTGGGAGTCCAAGGGGAGGACAAGTCTGCAGGCGAGCACACATACAGGGAAGGGGCAGCAAGATCAGACAGGTAGGGGACAAATGAGGGTTCACCTCCCATCACCCTAGACATTGGGTGTCATGCCACCACTTGCTTCAGGAGCTGGCGTCCCAGCACCCACAGCTCTGCCCTTGCTGTCCCACACCATAGGATCTCCCTCCAGTGTTTTCTGGAGTCAGATGTGGGAACTGGCATTATGGAAGTTGAGGATAAGACCAAAGCCAACACAAACTGGTTTCTTTTTTTTTTTTTCCTAGCAAAGTGCACGCATGATATTTAGGCATCACATGCAACCCCCTCACATGTACCTGAACAGCCAGGCAGCCAACCCTCAGGCAGTGACACCTCTGTAATATTCCAGCTGATCCAACCTAAACATGGCTAATTGGGTCCTCCTCACTTCCCCTGGCTGGAGCCTTGGGGGTCACACAGTCACACTTCTCTGTCCCCTGGCAGGACTCTTATTTTCCCTAATGATCCTCAGCAAAGCTGCAGTTGTGCTGCATTCACACACACCTTGGGGAATGCAAACTTCACACGGCATACCAAAAATTACAGGGCCTGTGGCAAGGAGCACAAATGGTCCTTTCCTGAAGTCAGGAAAATTACACCAACAATAAGGTCAGTCTGCCAGGGCCAGGGTCTGTGTTTTGTGTTCTGACACATTGATCCAGTGTACCGAAAGAAAAACAGTGCAGTGGGTACAGGCCTGTGCTTAGGCAGTTGCGAGCAATATTTGGTTCTTCCCGAGCACTGCTTCTGTGCAGTGAACATTGAAAGGAAAATATTTTCAGCTAGTTAGGGAAACAACACGAGGCTGGGTAGTTGGGAAGCCTCCTCAAGCTGTGCCCGTGATGAGGAGGAAAGCTCTCCCGCTGACAGACCTTGACTCAGGGCCGCAAGTGATGTGCGTCTGGGGTCACTGATAACACCAGAGTGGCTGCTTCCCCAAGACATCTCTCACCAGACTTCACAGGAAACAAATAAAAGTCTACTCACCAGATAAGGGCGTGAGCCTGCAGAAGGCTGGAGGCAGAGGGGGGCGAGACCTTGCCCCTGAGCCGAAAGCTGTGGCTGGTTCGGGGGAGCAGAGGCCTGAGCGGGTGTCGGTTTTCTTTCCCTTAAGGAAAAGTCCGGGGAGAATGGCACCTCGGGGATTGATACCAGGCTTTGGGGTATCAGGCAGTGATACCCGAAAAGCCTGGGAATTACACCTTGGGGATCGATACCAGGCTTTGGGGTATCAGGCAGTGTAAGGCAGCAGTTACTGTGCCTGTGACACAGCCGCCTCGTGGGCACGTGCCAGATGTAGCACATCAGTGCAGCCGTATCTGCAGTATTGGCACTGTGCTGTGCCTCAACGAGTAACAGAAGCATTTATATACAACTCATACACGCAGATACGCTCCGAGTTACAAAAATGGTCAAGGGAGGAAGCTCAGCAGACTGCAGACCCTACCTCGCTAGCTCAGGACCTGGCCGAATACCCCCTGAAAATGAGGTGGTTGGTGAGGTGCCCACTGCTTTCAGCGAGCTCTGCTTTGGCCCATCACAGCCCAGTGGCGGGGCGATGCCAGACCTAAAGCCCCCTGAGTTTGGCTGATGGTGCCATGTAATCACTCGGGGCATCACTCAGGCCCCGATGTCAGTCCTTAGTCATATTTTCCAGCCTCGCATCTGTGAGTCCTCTAAAAGAGAAGAATTACAACTCATTGTTGGTGTGTTTCCACGCTTTTACTTCCATGCATTTTCCATTCCATTTATTTTATTAAAAGCAAGCTAAAGGACAACTCCCTGTCCTGCTGCCACAAACGCTCCACTGCGGTCAGTGCAGCCACACGCGGGCACAGAAACCTTTTGCTTACGGGGGCAAGGGCAGGATCAGTGCCTTCTTGCGGAGTTTATTTTCTAGCAGAGCAACCACCGCAGAGTAGAATATGATTTCTTAAGTTAAACACAAATAGGATCAGCTCTGCACAAGAGCACTACAGCGAAGGGGGACCAGGGGCCTCCCCAGTGCATCATAAAGCTTGATAAAATGCTGCATGAAGTGGGATTAGAGAGCATTTCCCAATGGGTAAAAAAATAATATTCCCCTGAAACAGCAGCTTCCTGAGAAGTCTCACATCTGTCCAGCTCTGGAGAGCTTCAAACAGGCCTGTCTGCTGAAGAAACACAGCTTTGATTGACTTATCTGCTTTCTCAAAAGAGCCACTACATGCTTTAGGCTTTAAGGAGCCTTAAAGCTCAAGCTAGATTTCTGTTCAGAAAATAAAAAAATAATAATAAAAAAAAAATACAAAAAAAAAAATACATGTACAATAGCTGGGAGAGAATAGTATGAGAAATATCTTTATTTTACCATTTTCAAATGGCTATTTCACTACATAAAAGGAAGTTTTTATTTTTATTTTTTTTGGTATATTGATATTCCAAATAAAATTTTAACTTTTGGTTCAAAACAAAATACCTCTCTGTGTTTTATTGATCTGTAACACCCATCCAGATCTCCGTGCTGCCATCAGGCCCAGCTGCCGAGGAAGAGGAGCCGTTCCCTGGCAATGGGACCACACCGTGGCTACGCTGCCTGTCGCTTCCCAGCAAACCTCTGCCCAGTTCATATTTTCCCATGCCAAGCAGAAGCATTATCTGCCTTTTCTTTGTGTTTTTGTGTGTGAATCTGTATGAACTGAGTGTAGCTCAGGCAGTGCTTGGATGTCCTGGTTATTTACACTTACACTTAGGAAATCCCAATCTCTGCATCTCCCGTAAGAAACAAAACCTGCACTCAGGTTCCCCGCATCCTACCTGGACAAAGCCATGTGGAGCCTCTGGGAAGAGTGAAATTGCAGAGCGTGGTGTTGCCTGTTCAGATCACGCTGTTATAATTCACCGTTCACAGAGGTACTGCATTTCCCTAAAAAAAATAAATAAAAAAAGGATGAAACACCAACGCTTAACTGCATGAGCTCCAGTGTCAAACGATAAGAAATTTAGCTGCACCTGTGTAAAACAAGCCACGTGGCTTCTTCTGTGTTTTACATCTAACTCACCTAGCCTTCCAACTGGGAGTGGGTAAAGGAAATAAAGGAAACTAATAGAAAATATTGATTTTGGAGTGTGTTACACAGAGTAATTTATTACTGCTAAAAGCACTTCAAAGGTCCCAGATAAAGGATTTGCAGGGGTGGGGGAGCTGGTATTTTTCTCCTTTGGGATTTTACACAAACTACCAGGAATCCTAGGTTTGGTTCAGCCCAGTGTTTGGGGTGGCTGGGAGATGTACAATGCTGGCATTTACAAGAGAAAAGAAAAAAAAAAAAAGTATCTGATCCAAAGTCTCTGTCACACCCTGGAAAAACCAACCCCTGCAGTGCCTCCTGCAAGGTTTGGCACTGGCTACCTTTACTGTTCAGATTCCGTAGAGATCAATAAAACCTATCAAAAGTACGCGTACATTTATGCACAGAAACACCTAAATATATTAATTGCAGAGCTCCCAGGTGAATATTTGGTGTCTGTTGGAGCTACTTTTTCTAAAAGGTAGCACCTGAGTTTGCTCGCAAAATCAGAAGGCTTTTAAGGGAACATACAACTGGCATTTATTTATTGTTCACTGCTTGCAAGTATCTGTTGCAGATCTTGAATTTGTGTTGCGAGCAGAGCTGTGAAATTGCAACCAAAGTATAAAGTGAGTTTACAGAACATGACTTTTTTCAGGATGCTACCTTCAAAAGGCCTTGTCCAAGCCAGCATGCAGCATGCACTTGCCACTGCTCTGTGGATGTGCTGAAAATAACTCAGCAGTGAAAAACCCACAGCCTGCAGCGTGATGGGTGCTCACCAGACATGAACAGCTTGCTTTTACGCAGGTGTCACTTGCTTTTTGAATGAGTGAAACAATAACATCGGTTGAAAAGAAAAAGTCCAGACCATTGTTTTAAGTAAACTGTCCTTCAGCCCTGCTGATAAGCTTAATGCTACAGGACGGCAGGCTCTGCAGTTTTAAGAGCTGCCCTGCACTTATGTAGACCTTCCTTTGCAAATACATCAAAGGAATGAAAGTGCTTGGGATAATAACTAGCAAAGACTCAGCACGTGCAGAAGCCAACAGAGCTGAGAGTGTAGCATTGCAATGTATCGGACCAATTCATTCTCCAAACTCTGGACATAGGATAGAAATAGCCCATCTTCATGGTGAGATGTGTGTAAGTGGTTTTTTTTTTTTCATCCTCCTGATAACACTGGGCTGAAGTGCAGTCACTGATGAGCTCTCAACACCGATGGCCCCATTTCCATCAGAACCAAACCCCATTATCTCTGTCCTCACCATCTGTCTGAAGTAAACACATTGAAATTTCCAAACTTTCTTGGTTTTACTGAAATTGCCTACATAAGACAGACACCTTCTGGGCAAGGCAGTGGTGGTAGTTTTATGGGTCTCCAGAGCTTGAAGTATTCATTTAACATTCATTTATTTAACATTTCCTGCAAAGTTCTGCTCAAATATCTGCTAGCTACCCCTTTAATTCATCATCTCTTACTCTTTTTGTTGGCATTCTCCATTTAGATGCAGAACAAGCCTTCACTTGTTCAAAACTGTACAGTGGTATTATTCACTGACTTCCATAACTCTTTACAAGGGCTTCGAGTGTGAAACTTCCAGTCCCGTTGCCGCTTGGCTGAGCTGTTGCAAGGCGCGCTCGCCTGGATCTATTCCTGTCCGTGGCAGCAGTCATAAATTGCACCAGAGTACAAGCAGTCTTCCTTGAATTCACGCAGACTGTTTACACTGTTAAGCAATGTATACCTTACAACGTTTCTACCTCTGTAGAGGGAGGAACAATTAAAACGATGAAGTCGAGTTAAGTTATAAAACTTTAAGGAGCAGTATTCATTAAAGAGTGACTCATCTGTTCTTTCTTTAAGCATCTTCCTCAGTTGCAGCGTGAGTCAGATATTGTTGTAGTTATTACCAACATGGAAAACTTCTAAAGCCAATACATAGACAGACCCAAAGGAAAATGTGTTGGCATTTTAACTACAGCTGATCTCTTCATCGGTCATGTAAATGGTTAAACGAGAGACGATCTGTTCCATATATGTATATTTCACCAGCAGGACCACTTTATGAATCCTAAACTTTGGAGAAACTACTACTTTAGCACTTCTTAAACTTGTTTTCAAAGCCACAAAATGCAAATCTCGATGTCCTAATTAGAGGGTAGTACGTAATTACTGGGCTTGTGTGATCTCATCCTCCAAGCACGATTCCTCTTCTAGCAGAGCTCCTGCTGCTCGTTACCTCACTCAGGTTTCGCTCAAAGGCAGCTGTCCTCGCTCCATGTGGAGGTCACCCGGCAGACACGCACAAGAGATGCCTCGAGGAATCGCTCCTGGATGGTGGGAGAGTTTGCAGCCTCCGCTCTGCAGCACAAAACGGCCACGGATGCTCAGCCCACGTTCAGGCTTTTCGCTGACCTGCCTTTCTTGGTTGCTGCCAACCCTCCCAAAAAGGGGGTGAGAGAGGTGAAGGCACTTGGGATGCTGCTGCCTGCACGTTCAGAAAGGGGAGAGGGCTCTGCAGTGTCCTGTGTCTGGATTGCACCTGGCTGCCCCCTCTCTCCAGACATGGTGCTTTGCTGAATGAAGGGTTATTTAGCTTCCTTCTGCCTGCTAGACCTGGAAACCACAGAAAAAAAGATTATTATTTTTTCCCTAAAAACTTTCTGGAATCTGACATTTAGGGAAAAGAAAAAAAAAGATCACAGCTTTCATCCCAAATCGAGATCTCAAGTTACTGTGTTTTCAGCTTTCTGGGCTCGAACTTTAATGGAAGCTTTACCTTGTTCTTGTGCTAACTCCTTTTCCCACTCCTGAGGCATCAGGATTCAAATAAAGCAATTTTTAAAAAAGGATATTTGTTTATAAAATAAAGGAAAACAACCACCATCCCAAACCCGCCTGGGGTTTTGCTATCACAACTTGGAAGGCAAGGACGTCAGTGCTGCAGCCACGCTCTCCCAGGGTGGTTATTTTGGAGGAGCCAGGAGGGCCGGGGCTGCTACTGCAGGGGAAATGAATACCTCGCCCAGGCCGTCCTGCGAGAGGAGACCAAGAAAAGCAGGGCACAAACCTCTGAAGCAGGTATCAAAGGATTTGTAATTTGCCTGCCCTGCTGTCATTTCATATTCTGTCTCCTCACAGTCGCAGAAGAGAGGGAACACCACTTCCCCGGGCCCAGGACAGGGACTGTCGTGTGTTTGCATCTGCAGGAGCTTGCAGGTGTCCAAAGGGGTGTTCGTGGAAGGTGAGCACTGGTGGAAGGAGGCATGCAGATACTCAGTGGGGAGCAAGCAATGGATTCCTCTTGTGTTCCTCTTCTTCCTTCCTTTCTGTCTGGGAGGAGATGAGGTGCTGAGATGCCTAAACAGTTTCCGCGAGACCCAGCTTCTAAAACACAACGACAATTTTTAAAAACAACCTCTAAGTTAAATGCTAAATACTTTTTTGGAGAAGCCATGGGAAAGAGCCCTTTTCCTGCACGAGATTCTCAGTGATAAGTACTGGTTTTCCTTTCTGAGCACAGAAACCAAAATAAACAACCCTTGCTGTGTGACCCACGGGCTCACTGGAGACATTTAGCTTGTACTCCGAGATCAAATGGCACGAACAGATAACCCTAACTGAGGTTTTCTGGACAGAATTTGAAGGAGAAAAAAAATAAAAAAATAAAAAAGCAAGTTTGCAGCAGCAGCTCCGTGTTGCAATGAACCTGCAGTGTGGAGGGCGTGGATGAGGCGTAATTCGGAGCGTGTTTCCACAGGGCAGCGTGGCAGCTGCAGGCCGTGAGCTGAGTGCTCAACAAGGGAATGGGCAAAACGGGAGAGAAAATGCCTGGGAGAGTGCCTGGCTGCCAAAAGCTGCAGAGCTGCCAGAGGAAAGATACCTGCTTGACAGCCCTTTCAGACAGGCTAATAAGGGGAAAACCCTCCCAGTCCCCCAGATTCCTGCTCTCTAGGCAAGAGCTAAGATCAGGTGGGAGCAAGGCAGGGACTGCAAATGAGGACATCAGAGAGATACGGGTACAATCATCAGAAGAAAGTGAATGTCTCTGTGGCTTTCTTTAATCACCCGGGTATGTAGCCCTAAAGAGGAGGCCAGCAGGCATTCTGAGAGGGTTAGTGCTGGTTTTACCCTGCTAAAATTGAAAAGCGATGGATGCCACACGGTGCAATGCTGCACTCCTCCCTTACACTACCATGAATCAAATCCTACCTGATGCTTCCCGGCTACCCCCGGAGATCAGTGTGAGCGAGGCGCACGGTGCTGCTGCAGAAATGTGACCCAAACCTGAGCCAAACAACGAGGGGTCTGCCCAGTGAGGCTGTCCCGTGTAACGTGGTGAGGATACCAAAGAAATCTCAGCAGCAGGACGATGTTACAGGCACTAAACAGGATGGATGACAGCACCCCCCTGAGAAGACTCAGAAAGGTACATGAGAGCAGAGAGACTCCTAGGCCAGTTTCCTCCCATCCCCTAGGGATTAAATGCCCAGAGACACTTTTCCTCTGAGAAGTTTTTAACATTCAAGCAAAACTTCTTGATATTTCATAGATTAACACTGCGTACTGCTGTGAAACTTTGTCTTTGAAGAAACTTCGCAGCAGGCAAGCAGCCCTGAGGGACAGAGCAGCCCTTAGGAAATGGGGCGAATCCTGAGGGATCCTGGTCCCCTGGGATCAAGAAAGATGCCTGCAGACTGGAGAGAATGGGGGAGAGCTGTGTGAGGAGGCACCGCAGGCTTTGCCCAGAACCGGCCCTGGAGCAACCATGAGGTCTCTTCCCTTCTCCGTCTGAAGCAGTGGGAAATTGCCAGCAGGGTTCCCAGGAGGTGCGCGTGGGGATTCTGTATTTTGTGTTTTCTGTAATAAAATAAACACAAAAACAAATGTAAACGTGTTTGAGAAGGAGAAGCTCTTGGGAGAAATTAGTTTGCAGAAGTGCCATGGGACCTAACTCTGTGAAATTGTGCTGTTTGCCAATCCTTCTGTACATCACTTGTCTATTCCAGGCTAATGAATTTGCAAGTTTTTCGATTCTGCCAAGGAGAGAAATGAAACAAGCTGCTGAAATACCTGTGCTGTCTGTGAATGATCTTTTTTCTTTTAATTTGAGTTACAGCACAGGAGGACACAACTCCTATCGCAGGACTTAGTTAAATTGATTCAGGAGTTAAGGTCACTGGGAGAATAAATTACTCTGCTAACATAAAATGTGGTAAACAAGAACAAGAATTAATGTGACTGTAAGTGATCAATGAAAATAAAAATTAAAGGAAAAAAAAAAAAGAAGAAGAAAGAGAGCAATTGAGACTTACCCAGAGCTAATGCTGAGTCCTGGGACTGACCCAGTGGCTTCACTGGAAGCGATTCCTCTCTTTTTGCAGCGTGTTTAAAACAATGATGTAAATGATATAAGGAATTTTAGCAAGATTAATTTTTGTTTTGTTTTGTTTTGTTTTTCTGAATGAGGGAGCAATCCTGGATCCTTCCCTCCCAAGCAAGGACCAGTGCACGTGTCTGCAGAGGGGCATGACTGGCACGCTTTGCTGTTACCCCTTGTTGAATGCTATTTGACAACATCAGAAGAGGCAGAACAAAGAAATATGCAGGTTGCAAACCAGTTCAAATGAAAAAAACATTTATAGCAAGGAAAAACAAGTACCTCAAACAATAAGTACAAAAATATTAGCACAACTAGGATGTTAAGCTGAGCCTGCCTAGAATACTTACAGTTGTATATGCAGCAGCATATAAAAATCATAGAAAATGAATGGTTTGCGAGCAGCAGGAGATTAAAATACACATTGCACAGGGGCACGCAAAGCCGGTGGGAGTCCTATCTGGATTTCAATAAGCAGTGTCTCCCTGCCACAGAACCCTTCTTAAATTGGCCATCATTTCCCACTCTGCATCTAAACTGGCCTGTACGTAACCTTCAATCACGCTAGAAATACCTGAAAATAGACATTTTTGGTCATGATTCAGATCTACCTCTGCATGAAATAAAACAGCTTGGCTTTTCTTTATTTATTTTATTATTTTTTTTTTTAATGTCTATTTTCTAAAGCCTGGTCATGACCAGGGGAGAGCTTGCCCACGGCTCTGCCCAGAGGCAGGCTGAGCAGAGGAGGAGCAAGGAATTGTTCTAGAGTGCACACTTTAGCATTTACAAGTCTGACACATTTTTGGGATGTATAAATGAAACCTGAAAAGGCAACATGCTTACACAGTGGGACTGGCTGCAAGGAGCGGAGTTTGAGCAGTCGAAAGCATGGTCATAAGCTTCTCTTCATCTTCAAGGCCCTGTTTGCACAAGTGACCAAATTTCATTTCATAGAGCTTTAATTTTCTACATGCAGACCACTGGTTTAAAAATCAAACAAGACATTTCAAAGTAATAAATAAAGCTTATTCTGTGTTACAGGGGGTCAGTTCCAGGTGTCTTGTAAATTCAATTTGAAAACCTTTCGAGGTTTTAGATTAATAATTCCTCCAAGATCATATCCCTGGCGCTATACTTCAGGGTGAGCGTATTTTTTAGCACTTACTGAAACATCTTATGATTGGGAAGGTGGAGAGGCAAAGAGGGAACATTTTGTTATCCAACACAACAATTCTGCACCTGCCGCCTTGAGATGCCTGGTCCAGGCACAAACAAGAAATGCCAAAAGCCTCCTGCATCACAAATTTGCTCTAATAAACCCACCACCGTGTTTATTTGCTAACTGCTGGAAGCGAATTCTGGTCAGCCTGCTGTTTTCTGATGCAGGAGCACTTGCACCTGGGTGCCAGGAACCGCACACATGAGGCTCCTCTGTGTCAAAGCACCCTCTGCTGGACCAGCCGGACATGTGAGTGATTCACAACCCCACAGCATCATCCCTCCCTCCCCTGCCCCAAAAATGGGTAAGTAGGTGAAGGGGTTGCCTTCCTCCAGCTGCATCCTGGCTCCAAGGAAAGGCTCCCAAATTGCCCCTTGTCCATGTAGGGGACCCACGCCCCGTATCAAAGCTGCCCCCAGGGGTGGCGTCGATCCAGGCTCCCCGTAACGCATCGGGACATGAGTTTATACAGCTCTTATCAATACATGGTTGCCTGCAGCAGGGTAGCTTCTAGCATGCAAGAAATGGAAGATCTGTGAGTGCCGGCTGGACAAAAATTGACGGCATTCCCACCAGACTTCACTGTAAACCGAGTTATGCTGTAGTGTCAGCGTGAGCTTTCCTGTCAGGCACTTAACCAGGGTACAAAACCTCTCGTTGAGCATCTAGCCTGACCATAGCAGTCATTCCCACAGCCTGTGTGAGAGTCTTCCTTATGGCCAGGGAGACGAGCCCCTTGTTTCAGACCTACCCAAATGGATTATCTTCGCCCTGCAATGTTTTACAATACCTACTCAAAACGACGTTTTACACAAGCATGTAAGTGAGAAGCAGGAAAGCAGCCACTTGCTCTGACTTGATGGAGACCAAACACAACAGCAACTTAAATAAACATAGGGGCTGTGGTTAGTTTGCAATAAATCTCTCCTAAATACGGCTTGCTGGAGCAGTGAGGCATCGTCTCACAGAGACTGAAAGTAAAGCATACGCAGTGAGCAACGCCATGAACTGGGGAGGAAGGGATCCGAGCTTTCTGAAAGCGAGAATAAAAAGTAGGTGAAACACATGATCGAGGAGGAAGGAGCTCTGTAATTTTGTAAGGGTTTAAGTGAAAAGAATGTGAGGCAAAGGTGCTCAAGGAAAGGCTTACACCTCTAAATAGCTTTGCATACGGACTCATTAGCAGAGGAAGGAATTTAATTGACGTTTTTAGCGCAGGTAGGCATCAAGGTGTAATAGGGAGTGATCAGTGCAGAAGAGGTGGCACAGTTTCAGCGAAGAACATTATAGGGTTGGAGACTTAGAAAGAGATGAAGGAAGAAATCATACCCTAAAGGAAGGGAAGAGAAGGAGCAGTCTGTACAGCTGTTCAAACTATCTGCAGTGAACCATCACTCAGCAAACTTCCTTTTTCCTGGAAAGCGATGAAGATTAATAACGTCCCTTTCCTTTGAAAAGGACATTGTAAATACATATTCAAATCTGAGCCCTGAAAAGACTTATTTTCTGGGATGTGTGTTCCACGTGGGCTACAGCAGCTACTGTTTCCTGCTTTACTGCTGCAGATATCATCTCTCCCTGCCAGTCTGATTTCGGGATCCAGGTGGAAAACACGCAAGTTAGTAAAATCTTCTTTGAAGTGTACTTTTAAAGCTCACTAACTTTGACAAAAACAAAACAACAACAAAAACTCGCAAGCTTTGGTTATAGATGTTAGCTAACATCCCATTTCCTGACTTCTGTCTTTAAATTCCTGGAAATGGAAAACTGATGAAAAATCAGGCAGAAGAGGCCTTGCCCAAAGCTTCCACCACAACTTAGCTCCCTTAACTCCAAAATATTTTCTCAAGTCTGAAGCTGTGCTGCTAACGTTATCCTTTTGTCTCCTCTTTCTTCCTGTGCACTCTGAAAATTTGGCTTTTTCATTCCCTCCAAGCAATTACCTGCTCAGACCAAGGCTGAATCAAAGTGAACTCATCCTGGGCTGTTATCTCAATTCAGCCATGTGGAAATAACTTTTTTTTTTTTTCATTTTCTGAGCTTTCACCTACTTGAATTTTAAACCTCACAGTTATGGCTCTGTGTAATTTTCCATCAGTTTAAATTCAGTCTTTCATCCACACCTGGAGCTGGAACAACTCATTCTCAACGAATAATGCATCCAGTGATGGATGCATCCAGTCTCTTTTAATTTGCAGGATATCTGAGACCAATTGCAATTTCCTCAAACGTATTTCTTCTTCTACCATTCCAGAAAGAATTATTTTGCTCTTTAAATTGTAGTTGTAAGCACCATCCTCCAAACATCCACACAAATGTTTAATTTACCAATTATTTCAATAAGTACATGTATAATTAATTATCTACCAAGTCAGTTTGTAAACAAATATACTTATTTTCCAGACTGAGACTTACTCAGCTCTGATGGGTCATGCTTGGGACTGGTTCCAGCCCTTGGCTGGGAGAGCAAAAATAGTTGTGTAGCAAATATATGTTTCTGTTTCGCTGAGTACTTTTGCGTCAGAGTTTGACTTTAACTCTTTACAAATATTTGTCCCTATAGAGTTTGTTACCAGAGAGCAGACAAACTAGCTGCCCGAACTCACTCAATTTTAATTCATGGCATACATATTTTTGCAATACCTGCTTTCAAGGACACGGCTCTACACCCTCAGCCAGCCACAAAGCCTCTCATTGAGAGTGCTAAGGCCAAAATCTGTACAATTAAATTATGGTGTTTTTACCAACCTCCTTCAAAGAGACTAGGAAAGCTTGTTAACAGGTTCATAAATCCAGGTGAAAAGATCAATCCAGCTGTCCTGACATATATGTTATTACTGAATATATATGCTATTGGAACATGGCAAATAGATTTGTGTTTACTGTTATGTGCTGATTGGTGTCACTGTTTCCCAATATATTTGGGGATACGAGATCCCGAACACCTATCAGCATTATATTCCAATATATCTTTTATTCTACTGGCTCTGGTTAAACATCTCCTGGATTCCTGGTAATACCAAGCACTGGGCAAAACTAACACATGAAGAAATCAGCTATCCATGCTAGCACTCTGCTAGACTTGCCTTTGTACTTATCTGAGGTGCCACTGCCCCTGGACACATGCTCATTGCTCTCCTTTATTTAAATGCTACTTTTTTTTTTTTTTCCTTTAAATGTACTTACTTTTGAATAGAAGTCCGAAGAACAACTGGTATATCCTAATTTAACCTATGTAAAATGAAAACCACCTAGCATCCCTCCAACAGAGTTTAGAGCCCAATCTCCTGGTCCCTCTGCAAGAAACACACACTGAAGTCTTAAGAGACACTGAACACCTAGGCGAACTAAACAGTGAGAGTTTGACAGCTTTATCAGAGCTGCAGTTTGTTCCTGACTGCCCATGGGCAGATGATCCAGGTTGAGGCTCAGCAGGGTCCTGCTTTCCCACCAAAGCCTTTGGCCACCACTCAGGGCAGCGCCACACACAGCCCCAACTGCCACACCACCCCCTGTGGTTTATAGATGCTGCCGATACCTTCCAAAACCTCTTGATAAGGTTTTAAAGGTGAGTGCGCACAGCTTGTGGATAGCCAGTTTATATAGTCCGTATTATCTGTTTTCACGTTACCCAAATTATTTCCTACTAGTCTGTAAGATTAAGAAATGACTGTGGCAAAAACTTTCTAATTTGAATATGAATAATCAAATTTTGTTGTAAGAAAAAGAACTTCTTTCTAAACTAAGCCCCCTAAATCCTCATTTCTTTTCTCAAGTCACATATTTCAGTGCGGAAGTTAAATAAGCTCTTTCTCTCTTCACCTTTATATCTGTCACATTCAAACAATTGCTCTATTCCCTATTCCTCTTGCGCACATTTCATGAAATTCTTTCACAATTGATAGTTTGGGGAGAAGATGTACTACTGGAGATGAAGAAGAACCTGTGCAGATCCTTACTTGGTTTTCACACCTTTCCAGTATCTTCTGGCACACTGGGAGTTTTGTATGAAAACAAAACAAAACAAAACAAAACAAAAAAGCTGTATATCAAGAAGAAAAGAAAAGAAAAGAAAAGAAAAGAAAAGAAAAGAAAAGAAAAGAAAAGAAAAGAAAAGAAAAGAAAAGAAAAGAAAAGAAAAGAAAAGAAAAGAAAAGAAAAGAAAAGAAAAGAAAAGAAAAGAAAAGAAAAGAAAAGAAAAGAAAAGAAACAATTCAGCACAAATTCCCAAGCATATCAAAGCTGTTGCTACACACATTTTCAAAGATGCATCAAATTGCCAAATTCTCATAGTTCTTCCCAAAAAGTTAATATGAGCTTTAGGAGAAACACTGTTTTTAAGTTACGTGAATTAGTTCACAGCTCTTTGTTTACTGACACTGTCTGGCAGCACTTTCAGGCTGAGGTTTTTAATAGTACCTTGTTATGCAACTTCACAGAAGTCCATCACCTAGTTTTGCAACCTGAATTTGTACATTTTGACTTGCTAGGTGTCAAAAACAGACATGTTTATCACTTGGGAAAAATGTAGGAGAAAACAAGAGAGGAAAGAGTTTGTAGCACAAGGCCATCAGTGAACTCACCTGAGATGTCTCCACCTTCATCGTGATCTTTCTGCTGCCTCTGGGCAGTCTTTCTGGCACTCAGGCTAAGCTTCAAATGCAAAAGTTGCAATGGTAATCCAGGAACCAGAGACAGGGCCTAGAAAAGAAATAGATACGTCCTCAATAACAGTGATATAAAAATGTACTGCCTTCTGATGCACCAGCTCACTGAAAGCCCCTGTTGGAAGAGACCCTGTGCCATTGCCTTGCTGGACAGTCACTCACTGGCTATGATCCTGACACGTTTCCAACATCAGACACACACTCCAGCTCCCTCTGATACGCTTCAAGAAGAAGAAGAAGAAAAAGGCTTGGAGAGCACACTTGTTTTCAGGACAATGCTACAGGGCCTGTGCTGGCACTGCCGCAGCTCCTCTCTCTCTCCTGCACTTTTTTTCTGGCAACCAAAGGCTGCCAGCAGTGTGGATGTGTGCCTGTCTCGCTGAGAGATGGCAGCAAACTTGGCCAAGTCAAGCAGGAGGCCTCGGGGGGCTCCCGATTTAGGCACTGCTCCTGGTATCAGGAGTGACTTTTTGTTCACCATGCCTGTTTGTGGAAGCCGCAGCCCAACCAGCAAGCAATGAAAGCACTCCAGGAAATCTGCAGAGAAGCTAGATGACTGAAAGAGCTTGTCATTTGTATTTTAGGTGTGAGAGCACCGGGTACTGGGAGAGAGCAGGGTTAAAGCTGATGCAACCCAAGAGGGTGCTGCTGCCCCTCATGGCACCAAATGCTGTCCGTGCACCAACAGAGGAGCACGCTACACGTGGCAGGAGAACCAAACCTTGCCATGGGGAAGAGCTAAAGCGTGGGCTGGGTGCTGCAGCTCCTTCCCTTCGCCCACACGAGCTGGCCGGGGAGCCCGCGGGGCCCCACCGCCGAGAGGCTGCGGCGTTGTGTGAGGCCCAGGGAGAGGCATCGGCGCCGGGTGAGGCCTCCTCGCAGCAGCCTGCTGGCTCCTGGTGGGGGATACGCAGCAGCCCTAATGCATTAACTCCACCAAACAGCTCCCTCGCTCTCCGCCTCAGGTGCCCTATTCATAAATACAAATAATGTTTCTCTCCAGCCAGGATTCATTAACATCAGTGAAGCACTTAAGGGTTCGGATGGAAGTGTTTTCTCTACAAATAAAAATATAGGCCAATAATATTGCACACTGAGCTACCATTCCTTTAAGAAATGTAACTGAAATACACTTAGGGAAGCAGAAATGTTTCTGGGGGATCTACACACTTCTAGAAATTTCGAAAGGGCTCAGAGAGCAAAGGCTGAGAGCTGGCTCTGCTCCATTAATGTAAGCCCTGCTCCATTAATTTTGGTCTCACTTTAATCAGGCAAGTTATCGGATATAATTTTTCCAAGACAGCGCTGGACACGTAACCCAAAATTTTCCTTTCTGAATGTTAACAATAACAGTCCCTTTTGCCAGAAGCTCTTTACAAATGCACACGAAAGAAAACAGCAACAGTAAATTAAAAAAGTCTGTTAGGCACCTCATAACATTAATTGGCATTTTATGGCTCTTTGCATGTTCAAAGCAACATGCACAAATTACCCAATTAATCCAAGCTGCTAGGGTTTCTCCTGCCCCATTGCACCAGCCAGCTCTGTGCTTGCTGCATGGCCGGGACCCCATGCGAGGAGGAGATGGGTGGCACGACCTTGCACTGCCTCCTTGTGTGCTGGGCAAAGCTGGACAGCAGCTTGCAGGAACTTTTAAGTACCCTCACAGGGCCGATCGGGCCCTGGAGCAGGGAGAAGGCCATGGCACGGCATCACAAGCCCACACAATGTGGCCCCAGAGGGAGGACAAAGCCTTGCCTGAGCCTCAGCAAGTAGGGAGGGATGGGGTTGTGATTCATGCAGCATTCCCCCCACATCTTTATTCCCAGTTACAGGTGAGGAAGCTCTTCTCCAAGAGCTGAAAGAGCAGAGTGCCCACACAAGCTGCAAGCACTGTGGTGGACGAGTCCCTGGTTGCCTCCAAACAGTTCCGTGCATCACTGAAGACCACCAAATTATCAGCGAAGCACGACTGGAAATCCAGGCCTCTGAGACCACACACAGTCTCCCCAAAGCTTTGCCACTCTTACCTATACCTAAACATGAAGTTTCTTTTCCTAATGCAAAATACAATTATAAACAGGTTAAACCAAACAAAGCTCAAGTGTCCCCTCTTCTCCTCTGGGGAGAGGAGAAAGAGTGAGGTTTTCTCCCTTCTCTCAACAAACAGACCTGTTTGGGCAGCTAAATGGGTTAATGCAAGTGGCTGAACCACCGGGACTATCCACATGGGAAAAGTGAAGCAAAAGCTTTTAGCCTAAACCTCTGCAAAGGAGATTTGTCCTGTCAATGAAGACTTTGACTAATGTGCCCTATTATCTCCCCTCACACCCCCATTTCACTGCCGGCTGGGCCTCATTCTGAAGCATTATGCAAAATGCCCGTACATGTTATTGATCTCTGGTTGACTCTCTGTGTCGAATACAGTCAGAGCTACAGACAATTCTCTTTTTAAAGATAGAAATTATTAAATAACTGAAATGATAGCCCATTAAGATCAAAGGCCCAATTACCTTTGATTTTAACCACCAATCAGGTCTTCGTGTGGTATATATCAATCCACAATAAACTCACGAGTTTTAATGATAGTGATTAGCTAAGGTAGGAAGCACTCGTCTCAGATCTCTAAAGGTTCCTTCAATATGAGTCCTCAGATCTGTCTTTTGTGGGTGTCTCACATTAGATCACTGCCCCATTGCACCTACATCTGCTTTAATCTCGTAAGAGTCAGTGGTAGTGCAGAACTGTGGCGTGTTGGGCAGGGAAGTAGTGTTTAGGATTTCTAATTAAACCTAAATAAACTTTAACTGTAGCGCAATCATTTAGGAATGTCTAGCAAAGTCATTGAAATATCCTCAATCATAAACAACTCAGGCTGCACTAAAATTCAGGCCTTCAGATTAAAGCCTGACAGATTTCAGGGACGTTTTGAGTTACAGCACCAGCTCCACAACCTGGGCTGCAGAGTAGATCCCAAACCCAGAGGTACTGGGAAGCAGCACCCCAAATGCCCCTCACACAGCATGCCAGAGGCGAGTCCCAACTCTCAAGCAGGTTCAGTGACATGGTGCCCGACCTGCACAAGGGCTGATAATTTCCCTCAGTCCCTCTCCAAAACTGATGACATCAGTTGAGTTGCACAAACTCCTCTTGGACAGGTAGACTAAAGAAGATGAACATGCGCATGGTCAAATTATTTTGACCTTTTCTTACACTTATTTAAAAATCAGTGCTTATGCAAACCAGTTTAACATCCCTACTGTGCCTTTTTCCCAAACCAGCAGGACAGAATTTGATATAAAATTTAAATTCTTTTTGAAGCCTCATTTTCTCTAGCTTATGGCAGAGCTACATCATTGTACTCTTGTTCTAATTCACCCTTTGCATTTATATTTTCTGACAGTGACATTTTCTGAAAGCACAAATGTAGGCTGGCTGCTTAAAAAGCAAAATTAATACATGATTTTTTTTCTTCATCTCTCTTTTCCCCCTTCTGTCTTCCCAACAAACCAACCCAAAGCCTTAATCTCAAGCCTGCAGCACCATCCAAGAAACTTCTGGCAGTGCACTAAGTTAAATGCCCACATAAACCTTCCAAGGCTTGTGGTCTTCTGTGCTCAGCGTTGTATGGACTGCAGAAGCAGGTGAGAGCAAAGAATGGTGGCCGACACCATTTAATTTCAGCACAGTGCTCAGCCACTACCATGTGGAGGGCAGGACTGCCATTTCTGCAAGCTTGAGGTGAGCTGCCGAAGGCTCCCTGCTGAGGCAGGTGTGGTTGCTAGCAGGGCCTCACATGTAATACTAGAAAGTGCCTCGCTCAAAGCATTTTTTTGCCTAGTGCTTTCCTTCAGGAGGTTTCTTGCTCCTCATCACTGGCGGGAGGCGCACTCCCAGCAGCTCAAAAGACTGTTTACGAGACACCACTGGGCAGTCTAGAGGGAAGTCATAAAAAATGTATTTTTGTAGCTCAAAAGCGGTTCTGTCCAACTAAAGCCTGATGGTGGATTTGCCTACTAAACCATGCAGGAGCTCTTAGTTACAGGCACACACGCAACGTGACTCCAGTCCTGACCTGGGATTTCCCTCCAACCTCTCTGTTGCAGTAGCCGCAGACCTTGCAGAGCAGCAGGGAGGCAAGGGCCAGGCCAGCCGGTACCGTCCTGGTGCAAAGGGTCTAAATCTGCCCAATCCAACAGGGTGCACCACTGACAGACGGTCTAACCCAATGTGAGGACACTCAGCCTGTCTCTCTCTGTGCTTCAGTGATCTACAGACACACATTATACGTGGCTAATCCCTAATCATGCTTACAAGGGCTTCATACTCATTATTCAGTGAAATATAAAATATTTCTATTAAAACTTTTCTATCCGCAATTATTCCCCCAGGCACAACAGATAACGAGTCAGCAGGCACAGATTTAATTATCAGTTTTTACTGTAAGATGATGATGTTTATTGATATCGCTATCAGACAGACACTGAAATGAAGCAGATGTTAATCTGAGGTTAAGCTCCAGGAGGCGCCTAGCAGTCTGACCAAAGGGACTGATGTTCATCAGATAATAAAAGAGAGAGGCTCCCTCCCTCCCTCGCGAGGCCTGCACAGAGCTCACAGAAGTACCGATGTGCTTTGCAGATTCCTCCTCACACCATTTCCAACCCATTCGGCAAGCAGCGTGCCCGCTAATGCAGAGCTTTCAGTCAGTCCTGGTAGACTGTTTAACCTATCATCCTATTTTGCTTACACAGGAACTTTAGGGTTTGTTTCGGTTTACTTTCCCAGCACATCCTGAGACGATGATGAAGAACTAGAAAACACAAGTAAAATAACGACAGAATTGCTCTGGTGCTGCTGTTGTGATCAGAAAGCCCATCACCAGTGCCCTTTGTGTCTACAGCTGCTTCAAATAAACCCACAGCAAGACAAGAGGCAAAATTCTGCTCTCCAATTCGAAAGGTACCATGTAAAGGGATGGGACCTTCACTGTGAAAGGAGAGGATGATGAGACAACAGCAGCTTTCTATGTTTCTCAGTCTGTTGTCACCTTCTAGTGTTGAAAGCGGTGATGTTACAGCGAATATACTATTAAAAATATGTGGACAGATGATTCTCACTGAAACATATCAATGTTTAACATTAGAACATTCAGCAGGACTAATGAGCTGGTGCAAATGATCATTTAGTTTGGTAATTTTCGTAGCTATTTCAGTGATACAATTTTTTCCCCACCAAGGACATGCCTGCCATCATCAGTGGAGGTCAAGCGAAGCCAAAAATGATATGCTATTTTCTAGCTAGTTGCTAGTGCTGCATCCTGCAGCAACACTGTACATTTTATTTTCATTATTACCACGTGTGGATAATTCTCCGGAACAGCTAGGGCATTTACCACATCGTCCAACATCAAAGAGCAGTTACATGGTGAAATTGGGACCAGAGGAGAAAGTTGCTGCACTGCGTTGGTGCATGAAGTCCCTTAGGCCATGTCTGTTGTAGTAAAAGGCAGAAAGTTTGAGAGCACATGAGGATGCCCTCCTTGAGGACTGCTCTGACTACCACCTGCGACTTGACACTTGGTAGCAAGACCTTCAACAAGCTGACATTGGTGTATGTTTGAAATGATTTTAAAGGGTTGCTTTAACCCACTTTGAGGAGAGAGATTTTTTTCCAATTAAAAAGAGAAAAAGAGAGCAAGACCAACCTTTGGAATTTCAACATGTGGATCATTTGCAAGAGAGCCACACTTAATCTCCATGCCTAGCAGAAGGGAATTTGTGGTTTCATTGCGGGCTCTTTTGGACTGTTTTTCATGTCAGAATTATTTATTTGCTATAATTTGTCTCTCTTCCAAGAATTACCGAAACAAAGGAAACATTTGAATGAGATTTGAGACAACTTCTTTCTCACCCGTCAGGAAGGTAATCCCCAACCTTCAGATAAATGCGGGCATGTGGTTTCCAGTATTCTCACTCCATATGTCTTTGCAAACACCAAATAGATCTAATGTAATAGGACTTTTTTTTTTTTTTTTCCCCGTAGATTAAAAGGTTACAGTGATGGACCTTGCCCAGGATGATCCAGACTTTCATCCCTGCAATGCCTTCATTTTCACTCCCTGTAGAAGGGTGGACCTCCTGGCACAGCAACCAGGAGGCAGGCTGTAGGCACTAAGCCGTTCCTGCACTCTCCACTTCAGCTGTATCAGCTGTGAAGTGAAACAAAAGCATAACGCCCAACTTAGGAATTGAGCTTTACAGGTGAAAACCTGCAGAACTGTGGCTGCTGTAACTCTGAAATGAAGGCACTTCATCGTGGTCGCTTGTTCTGAAAAGTGGTGTCAGATGGTTTGTGCCAGCTCTCTCCATCTCTTGCTTTGTACCTGTGGGTCAGTTTTGAGTAGCTATGCCAGAGATGGAGAGCTCAAATATATGACAATCTTAATTTTTTTTTTCCTTAAAATAGGCAGCTAGGGAGAGGAGTGAAGGAGCCAAAACAATGTTGCTTTATGCGGAAGGTTGTAGCCTGTGTTCAGCTCTACTACAAGACACCAGAGTCCACATGAGTAAACACTGTGTGTATTAAATCCACTGCCTACATGGCATCCCACTTATGGGCATGAAACCTGCCTTATACCTGTGTTCTTACCAGCTTTGGGGAAACATCAGTGAAAGCAGAGGGAGCAAAAGGAAAGGTGGGCAGAAAAGGCAAAGGGGGAAAGGGAGAAGGGGGTAAAAGTGTTTCATGTGGGATTTTCCCCTTGGAGAAGGACATGGAGTGTTTCTTGGAAAGAACTGGACAAGAGTTTCTTTGAAATCCCATTGACACACAGAGGCAGCATCCAGTCCATATGACACGCTGTGGCATTTCTTTCTGCCTTAAGAGGACAGAGGTGATACATAATGCAAAGCCATAAATGCGGACAGACTTGCGCAAGAATGTTTACATTCATTTTTCATAGCCCTAAGAAATTGATCTGTAAAGGTATCCCATAGGAGACTGCGTTTGGCCTTGAAATATTGTCCTGAGAGGCTGTGTTTCTCTCCTCCATCTGACGCATTTTGCAGAGGGTATCAGCATATGGATTTGCGCCTCAGCTGTGTCATGAGCAAAGAATTGCTATTGTTTTAATATGCTATGCTGGGACATTTAAACATTGATATTGTCAGGTACTACTTTACAATTCCCATTAGATTTGTTGTAAAGCACACATTTATGAAATAAAATATTGCTGTATTCACCCATAAAACTCCATGTTATAACAGTACCAAGCATCTGGTTTCGATCAGAAGTCAGGAAATTCACAGTTCGAGCTGGAACTCCATCCTTCCCTAAACCCATTGCACTTAATTCTGCAACTCACATGTGAGCAGGTTCTGCAGTCTTCATAAAGGCAAAAACCTCACTGCCCTCAGCTGAAGGCTGCACACAACAGGCCTACAGGTTTGGAGTTAGGTGATGCTCTGGGGGCAATCCCACATGTTGAGGCTTCCTGCTGAAGCAGCTTGAGCACTGGTAATAATGCAGAACAAGAAACAACACATCATTGCTAATAGTCTACAAAAAGGTGTTAATTTTGTAAAGCACATTTGTTTTGTACAGCACCTTGATGTTCAAATGCAAGTTCTACCTGAAAATAGGTTAATACTTTTTAAGGTTCCATTTAAATTATTTTACATTTCCTTTCTCTAAAACCACAGTAGAGATTTTTCTGGTATAATGCAGGCAGGATTGAGAACCAATATCATTTTTCTAGTGTAAATCTATTTTTAATAATTGCGTTCATGAATGAAGCAAAAATCCAGAGGGAGAAAAAAATAAGTGAATGTAATGCATATAAAAATGGGGTTTCAATTCATGTTGGACAGGCAGTTTTGAATACCACATTTAGTAATTTTCAATTGATCAACTTTGCTAGTAAATAAATGGATTTCCTTTGTGGGTTTTTGTAAGTGTTTTAGCTGTAAATCTAGCATTCAGTCATTCATTTCAATCTGGTCTTTTTTTTTTTTTTTTGCTCTGCCTCCAGAGCTGAGGCTTGCCTTTAGCTAGAAATTTGATTTTAAAAAGTGGAGTTTTAAAAAGTACAGGAAAGTTTTAAAACTTTCTGAAAGAACAGCAAGTTTTAAATGAATGCAAATGCTTAAAGCCTGAAAACAATTGGGGAGTTCTACACAACCATGGGCTCCAGTGGCAATTAAGGGAACCTTAACGAGCTCCTTTCAGCTAAGATGCTGCACAGACACATGACTCTCTGAAGCTTGGCCAAACCCCCAGGATCTGCACCAGGCCTCTCAGTTTTTGCAGGGCTGATACATCTGGCAAGACAGAGATGCTGCTGCAGATTTACCTTCACTTCTCTATCCAGCAGCCAAGAAGACCAATTATAACAATTTTTATTTACAAAATAATTGACAAAATATTTATCCATAAAATAATATTTACCTTTTACATTTAAAGAAAAACGTGCCACAGCTGTGAGTACCAGTAGATGGATGCCACTTTCATCTAACATCTGAAATACTGAAGCAATTCAGTGCTGCATCCCTCTCACCTGATAGGAAGAAAAAATAATAAATTATGTTTTATATTTCTGGGAATATCTAAAGTTCCTATTTGAGAAATTGTCGATCGTCATTGCTTCTTAACCATGGTGATGAAGGCAACTGGTCTTCCTACGTAAACCTGTGCGGTTCAATGGGGCTATGTGGTCACTCAGTAAGATAGTATATGGTAAGGAGATATCAGTTATCCAGATATCCAGAGTTACTGGGGTGAATCCAAAGATGCAGCCTGGAACACATTCATCCAAAGGCTGAGGTAAGAGTGAGAATCTGTACCCTTGGAAAGAGCGTAGCTTCTCTGAACTCCAGATTCAACTTTGTGATATTCCTCTGATGTATCCATTGGCCAGTGGTAGTTTCCCATATGGAAATGATAGAAAGAGAGGTCTATAAAGAAGAGCTTACAAGATTTTATGTCATATGAGAGATGATTTAGATTTGTCTTCAGGAAGTCCTGTTATAATGAACCAATGCCTTTAACCATTGTTTCTTCTTTCCCTCTTCTAGAGCATTTGCAGAATAAATAAACTCCCTATTCCATTCTTATTTTTATGATGAGGAGATTTGAAACCTGCCAGCCATTCTCATTTAAGATGTTTCCTGTCCTTCCAGGCATTTGTTTGGCTTTCATGTTTTTGAAGAAGCAGACTGTGGATGCTTGTTATCTATGCATAGCATGCGGGATAAATGTGAATGCTTAGTAGCGGACTAAATATGACCCTTTGTTTTTGCAGATGGGAAACAGAGGCCTAGGTCACAAAGCCATCAAATATAAGGCTGAATGACCTGTAATAGAACAATGGATGGTGAGAGAAGTAGCAAAAAACAAACCAAAAGAAAAAAAAAAAAAAAGCACATTAAACTGGAAAAAGGTGAAACATGAAATCTATCCCTTTTCTATAAACACATGTGGAAAGAATAACACCTAGACTTTTTATTCTTAGCTTCTTTTTTTTTTTTTTCCCCCCTGTGCATTCCAAGGGAAGATCTGCCAACTTTGGGCTGTATCCGTTTCTCCTCTGTTGTTTGCCAGAATTAGTGCGCTCTAGCACACATTCTTTCCTAAGACTTCCAAATGTGTCGTTTGTTAGATCTAACTGTTTAAAGAACCCAGCCACCCTTGCCTCCTTTGCTCATAGCAAGCTGGGTGGCATACAACATACTCGCATAACCCAGCTCACATGCTACAGGTCTGCTTCAAACCTGGAACTGAACAGGCTCTTGAACCAGACTTCACACTGCATGCTTTGTGTTACCGTAGATCAGAAGACCTTGCACTGATACATTTGAATGCTTCTAATGCTCTCCTTATCCTAAAATATACACCGAGGCAAACATACCTGTGTTTTGCTTGTTGAAGCCTCCTGATGTAGAGCTTCAGTACTTCTGTAAAGCATTTCTAAAATCTTAGATCTGGGTCTGCTTAGCATTACACACATAAACAGAGGGTGAATTCACAAAAGGTTAGCACAGTTTCACTGGTTTGAATTGGAAACTACAGTGAATAGGCTCGAGACAAAGGGCTGTGTTTTACCAAGATTAGTTAATATCATTCAAATAAAACATGGAGTGAGTTAGGATGCACAGTAGCCACCCTGTGTGTATAATAATGTGAGAGTGGGGATAGATTCAGATATAAAATGAGTCAACATTAACAATGTTAAAGCAATGCCCACTTGAGCTGGGTCTCAATCTGGTTCTGAAGCAGCAAGAAATGTAAATCTGTCGGCTTGATTCCAAATCCACTAATTCAATGTTAGATTTGTTTATTAGAATAGCCCTTCTATGGGAATCTCTTCCAGCGATGAAAAACCATGTCACAGTAAGAACTAATAGGATATAGGTAAGAATTTTTATGTTCCTTTCTCTGTCTCTCTTTTGGTCTCTCTTTTTTTTTTTTTTTTTCCCTCCCCCAAGTAGCAATGTGCAAGGACCTGTTGAGTGTTTTTCTGATGCTCCCCCATGAGCACTGAAGTGAGGAAGAGAACCACATGCTCCTGATTACTCACTACTGCCCTTTAATACAGCAGCATCCTCAACCACAAAGCTCTGAATTTACATTTTGAGGAAATGTTACATGGGATGCAGAAGAGTAGGGAGCCACTGGCTGGACGAAGACCTTAGTTTTGTTTTATTATTACATCCAGCCGCAAGGCAGACCAGATTCAATTCCAACTTCCTCAGCAGTTGGTAGTGTTCAGTTCTGGGGTCATGGTTCATTTGCTATTACAAAACTGAGCTCATAGCTTTTTGATGTACTCACTTCCTACAAGTGATGAACATTATTAAGTTTGAGAAAGGAGAAAAGAACTATTAGGATTAAAGCACAGAATAAGCAGTAGGGGCTGCCTTGTTACATACCTGAGTCCCCTGGAGGTGACGTTTAGCACATTTCTGGGTTCAGGCAAGCAAAATTCTCTTAGAGGTCAAAAATGATTGTATAGCAATTAAGGATACTGACAAAGCCAAAGAATGGACAGTTAATACTATGTTTAGCCTCCCATTTAGGAGATTTTGCAGAGAAGAGTGTTACTTAAAACCAACTGATGTTGACCATTGGAGAAATGGGGAAAGATACTATAATCTTATGCAATCCCAGTTTTGGTCTGTTCCCTTGACCTGGATTAACCTTTTTCCTTTTATCTGTATTTTAATTCCAAACACCTCGCTCAAACGCGACTGTATCCAGGTCTCTGCTAAAACCTTTAATGAGCAACACTAAGGTCAGCGGAAATAAGTTTGAACTCTATTATTATTTCATACAAATACTGTAGGGATCCTTGAATCTCCCATAATTATTAGCGTTTTCAGTCTCCAGTGAGATGTTCAGCATCTGGCTATATTTAGTTTATTGATTGCTTTCTTAAATGGTTACCTTTCAAGAGCCATTTAAAATACATGTTTCTTCTTAACTTTTACTATTTACAGGCACACAGTGCACAAAGGCTGCACAGAAATGGGCCCAAATTCCTTTTGCAAACAAGAAACAAACAGCAAAATTTTTGTAAAATCTTAGTCTAAATAGTTTTAATTGAGTTGCACTGCAACAAGATTATTTTAGGTTACACTTCCTAAGCAGCATCCCTGATTACCACCTGCAAACGTCTATAGAGGATCAGAGCAATAATAATTCACTCACTATTTCTTTCCTGGGTGGTAGAAAAAAAAAAAACAACAACGATAAATTTATATCTAGCGTACTTTCAGTACTCTTACATAATGATTAACTACTGTTAATGAAATATCAACTGTGCATTCTCTCCCTTTGTTACAGCACTCTCAAACATATTATTTTGTGCAATCAATATAAACAAAGATCATGTCCATTAAAATGTGCACAAAGTTATGGAGGATGAATACAGCACATAAAACTTGTTGGCTTTAATCAATAAAAAGCCCAGAGCTGCACAAAAATTGCTAGGTCATGAAACTACAAAGCTATTAACCTGATTTTTTTTAAATAACTCTCTTCTCTAAATGGGCACGAGTAGCTAATTCTTCTATAAATTATTAAGTATTCTTTTCATTGTTTGCATCATATTAATACCTAGGGGACTAGTCCAGGACTCCAGCTGCTCTGTTTCTAGTAGCTGCTCACATAAAAGTGAGAAATTCCTTTGCATGGTGTCTTGGACTCTCTTTTTAAAACCATTACAAACTGGTTTGGATAAAGGCCATGTGGGTGAGGCCAATACAGCTACATGGACTGAAAACTGGATGGTAGACAGATCTGGTATGGGTAGATCCTATAACCCATACCAGGTGTATGGTGAGGGCCAGAATGACAGCCAGATAAGCAGTAACATAGACAAGACCATCTACAAACCAAAGCTCCTGAAAGGCATGTAATTTGAAGCTGGATATCTGGAAAGGTATCAGTGGCGTGTGGCAATTTGTATAAGCACAGACGAGGATCTGGGACTCAGGTGTTCTTAAGATTCACCTCAGACTTATTTCAACTTCTTACCTGGTAGAAAAGCCGCTACCGGACTTCATGGTCCTGATCTATGAAGCACAGAAATTCCTCCTAGTCTTTGGATTAGCTCCTGTTTGTATCTAGTAGAATGAAAGAGTCAGAACCATCCCCTCCTGAAAGAGAGTAGGCAGAAGACATTTTGGTTGTAGCATCTAGGCTTGAGGAGAATATTGTCATAGCAGCCAGAGTCCCAGTACAAAAGGGTTTTTGCATCTTTTAAGATTATTACTGCAACATTTGCTTCAAAAGTCAAGGTCCAAAGCCTTGAAATTGCAGGATGTTGATGGCCCCTATGGCTGGCCAGGAGGGAGTAAGGCTTTTCACTGGCCTGAATCTAGTCCACCTCGGTACTGAGGAGTGCCTGAAAGTTAATCCCATGATGAATGGTATTCACAAAGTTGGCTGTTCCTGGTCCACATCAAAACGAGCATTAAACAGCAGTCTCTATAAAAGATCACAGAGGAACGTGAGCCAACTTAGGCTATCATCCTTCCAGATTGTGTTTGGGGTGCATTCCTGGGGCTCTGGGGGAGGCTTCTAATGCCACTAACCTCTTCTTTTCACAAGCACAGAGATAAAGATGGCAAGTTATCAGGCAGCAAAGCAATAACACCAAGTGTGTCCTGAAGACTAACTGAACAGTGTAGGCATCACCCCGAAATAACATGAGATAAAATTACTCCCAATAAGACAAAACCACAAAATATATTAGCAAGGCAGAGGTTTTCCTTAATCCCATTCTGAACCAGTACGTACTTTTTTCACAGAATTTGTCTGAAATACTTCCATCCCGAAATAGACTCCCAGGGTGGAAAAATTTTGCTTGAAAAGATAACGTTCTGCAAGTTGCAAGTGACTGCAAATAAGGACTTAAAATGGGATGCGTCATACATTCCCATGACTGGGAACCATCACATTGCCTTTGCCCATTATGAATATGAATGAATCATTCCTCATTCATTTATGATGAAAATCTGGCTTTGGAAAATTGAAATGTCAAGTTCAATAAAGTCAGGATTTACTAAACTAAACAAACTCATTTTCTCCCCTGCCCTCCAGAATTGCCTAATAGTTTTCTCACTTTGGGCTTGTCAAGGTTTTTCCCACTGTTTCTAAATTCCTCTTTTGCAGTTTATTATAACACACATTAATTTAATTTTTAAAAGTCAGAGTCCACCAACAGAATTTGAGGTCAATACTAAGTTTGCTACATACCCAGAAAGTCTAACAATTTAAAAGTTTTTGAGATGACGTTAAAAACAAACAAACAAAAAGTTTAACCAAGAAAGGTACCTCTAGCATTCTACCATTTGATTTCATCTGACTTCCATGTCAAGCCTGAGAATTACACCTTGGAGGCCAGTTTGAAAACATATTGAGAAACCATCAGTAATATTTCTAGACAAACAAGTAGCAACATTCATAAGAGAGACATTTCAATGCACACAAAAATGAATATATGGCTTCTACTTGTTTATGGAACAGTATAACTAAAGTCATAAGTAAAAACTTACCATATTTAAGCAGAGATCTAACTGTGAGCTGCAGAAGATTATCTTCATTTGTAAAGATCCTTTAAGTGGTGAAGGAAAAAAACAAGATACCTGCATGTGCTGTACCAACACATGACACTGTGGCTGGATGAAACCAATGGAGCTATCGACAAGCATGACATGGTTTAATTGAGGAGTTTTGTACACACTTCTTTTAAAACAAGAGGGACACCAAGCATCTTTCTTTATTATTATTTTTATAAATCAACAGTTTTATAAACATACAAATAAACCAAATATATTATATTTATGTTGAAATATCATCTCAAGGTTTTAACATTAAAGATTATTTTGAGTTTAGTGCTGAGACACTAAATAGGAAACATTTAAAACTCATAACACCCTAATTATTAAAACATGTCATTTTGATTTTCTTATCTCATTCTCTAAAGAACACTATCAAATTTAAAATTTGATCCTTAGAGTGAAAGAAAGCAAAGTAAACAAAACAAGGGGCAGAATATAAAACTAATTTGTAAGGAGTCTGAAACATCTTTGTTTAGACAAGATTCAAAGTTAAAAATCTTTATTTTCTTTGATCAGGGAAACATCCAACTAAATGTTAACTGTCATTCAACACGGCACTTTGATTTTAAGCACAGAAACATATTTCACCAGAGATAATCAAAGTGCAGGGATAAAAATCATTTTACTGTCTATCTCTCATGAAAATAAACTGATTTACTGAATCAGCGCCTTTATAGCTGGACTCTCTTCCCACCAACATGCACAAGATCCCTGATGGACTGTGGAAGATGAGGGAACCCAGCCTAGATGCTTTTAACAATGTTAACGAAACGAAACTATGCTTAACTCAAAATCCAGTCTGCTAAATACTAATGGTCCAGTCCAGTGGTTGCCCTCTTCTGAGCACAATCTAGTAGGCTGACTCTCCTCAATCACTTCACTTCTCATGGACATTCTCCATTTACATAAGAGCTTGTGTCTTCCTTACTGCTAACTCCAACCACCCTTTGGAAATGCCTATTTTAGAAGTTCAGTCTGAATTCAGAACTGACTTAGTAATTCAAAACTACCCACAGAAAGATCATTTTAGAAGGATAAACAACTATCCTTAATTGCTACCCTATGTACAAATCAAGGCCTTACAATTTCTGTAATTCAGACACCTCAGGCTCAGTGTTTTTATTGCTTTCACCAGCACAAATCAGAATTCATCCCTGGAAGTGTTCAAGGCCAGGCTGGATGGGTCTCTGAGCAACATGGTCTAGTGGAAGGTGTCTCTGCCCATGGCAGGGGGGTTGGAATTAGGTGACCTTTAAGGCCCTTTCCTACCCAAACCATTCTGTCATTCTATGATTACAAGATTTAACTCCACAAAGTTACTCAAGCATGCAACTATTTCGGACAAGAGATAAGAATCTTTTAACGCTCTTTTCCATCACTGGCATACAGAGCTAGCAACCAACCTACAACACATCACACCTTCCTGGTGGAACTCCAAAAACAAACAGCAGGATGTTAAACACACAGATGAATACCATTAACAACTATTATCCAGCTAATGAATTATGAGGAGCGCTAGTAGTGGGCACTGTAGTGGAGCTTAGAGAAGGTGTCCAATAGTTATAGCAGTAGACTTCACACACAGAGAACATCCCCTACAATGAAAACATTAATAGTAACATAGCTGATTTCCAGATATCTTCCAAAACATTCTGAAAACAGCCTCAGAAGTTCAAGACCAGTGGTGAAAATCACTTGAGATGATACACAACTAAGCTACAACTCTGTGTATGACAGAGCTTTATAGGCAAGTTAGTTTTTCTTAACAAATAACTGGAAGGGAACTGTAGCTGTTAGAAAGTCAGTCTCAAGAAAAATGGGTGTTGTTTTCCAATCGATCCCGTGGATTTTGAGGCAGCGCAAATCAGTGACGTGGATGTCAGTCCAAACTGAGGGGGCATTTTGTTCGTTTGTCCCACTTCTCATGTTCTTTTGGAACAGGAACTGGCTGGACTTCTTCTGCCACACTAAGTCCTATATAGAGAGACAAATTTTGCTGCCAGCCACAGTTCTGTGAGGCAAAGAAAGCTCCAGCACATGCTCCCTCATAGGGCTGAAAGCAGACTGAGGCCTGCTGTCCCTGTCCAGCAACAACCACGTGATCCTCCGAAGAAATGGTGTAGAGTGGAAAATTGAATGGAGGAATCACCTAAATCGCTACAGATGGGACCATCGGTAATACCATGAGCTTACAAACAATCCTCCAACCCACCAAATCTGAGAAACACAGGCCCACATCTGGTGCTCAGTTACAGAAGAACTTCAGTTACAAGAACAACCCCATTGAAGTCCCAGATGTTACATTGGCCTGACAGCAGTGCTGGGGAGAGGCTTGTAGTGCCCATGAACAGTATTTTAACAAAAAGATTCATTTGAACTCGTTTTCCTGCATCGTCTTCCATTCCAGTTTCTCTGCAGTTGTCCCTTATGACCCACTTTCTGGGCAGTTTTTCGGACTCCATCTATGTGTAAAGACTATCACTTGCAATAAACTCCTTTAGAAAATGTTTACCTCTAACAAACCACCCACTGGTCTGTTTTCCCTCAGTGTCCTTTTAGCTGCCAGTTGATGAAATTCGCAGTGTTGACCCTTAAAGTGATACTTGTAGAGTCGTGGTG